TAAAGGCAGCCCGCTTACAACAAACGATGGCCCGGAGGCAGCTTTAAACCATATATTCTTAGGATAACGTATCCACCCAACACCGTAAACTGCCATGGCAATAGATCCAATTCCTATAGATGTGATGACGAGGATTTTCCAGGTGGTGAAATGTTCAGTCAGAGACAGCAGAGACTGATAGAAGGTGCAGTGAAGTCTGCCCGTTGTGTGGTGTTGCCAGTTTAACCACACTCCATCCCAGTACAATGGAAGTGTTGTTGTGGTGTTCTCCACCGTTCCTCTTACTTTCCACATTGGTAGAAATCTTGTAAGGATAGTGCAAAACCAGCCTGCACTAGCCAGCCCAAAACTAGCAAATTCAATTTTTATATCCATGTCTGTGTTTATTCAGGATCGTGGAGCAGAACTATTTTCCATATTACGGAAACCAGCTGTACTGCATTCCAGCTGTGGGCGGAGAGACACTGTGGTTGAAACGTGGGGGAATCTTTTGTGTTTTTGCCATGGTTTCATAACAAATCCCTCTATTTCCTCACACGATGACACATGAATAGGGAGCTATGGAGATTGTATGCTTACACATCAATACTGACAAGGTTTAGTTATCTAGTGCAAAACAACTCCAGATTAATTCAAGTGTTGGTCAAAAAAATTTTAGGAAAATGTTGTCCATGAAAAAGTGTGTGGTGTTCGGTAGCAAACAAAACAGAGGAGATGGCATAGGGGGAGAACGGGAATGGTGTAACACGGGTCAGTTGGAACACCTGATCAACTTCTATCTTTCTGAGTACTGTGAATTTGGACATACTTCTTTTGTCACGTACTGTTTTTCGCCTTCTATATAGTAGGGAAGTAAGTGATTTCGGATGCAGCCAGCAGATTTTAGAGGGGAAAAAGTCATTTTGAGGTAAGAAAGTAACTTTTTTACTTCTTTATTTTTATGACGACAATGCCTGCTCTAAAACTCATCAAAGTTAAATAGTTTTTTTGTGTCTGTGTGGATATTTTTGTCTTCATGTGGACGTATGTCGGATGTATCCATCGGATGTATCCTTCGCGGCCTTAAATCACCCACAATCCTTTGCACAAATTCAAATTCTAGGAGGTACACAGCATCAGTAGGATGCAGACTTCTGTTTTGGAAGCACCCAACATGCACACACATGCACCCAACATGCACACACATGCACAGCATTCTCTCTCTTCTCTCCTCTTACTTTGCACATACATCTAAGTCAAGAAGCTTGAGTGCCATCTAGTGGTGCATTAATGTAATGACATCACATTTTTTCATGCAAATTGCTAGTGCTAATGTTTTGGCTGTTAGCTGTAAGGTGACAAGCCTACCCCAAGCTAATTTTTTGTTGTATTTAAATGTTTTCTTTGAATTTTAGTATGCCTAGGTCTTGGAACAGAAAGAGTAATGTAAAAGACCAGGGAGAGTCTGTAAGATCTGTGGCAAAATTGAATGGCATTTGCCATGTATCCTTGTACAGATTCTGTAAAAAATAAAAAAAATGTTGGAAGAGAAGGAATCAAGGGAGCTTCCACAGTGGAAAGAAGGTCTTCACTGATGGACAAGAGAAATAACTTACTGAATATATGATAAGGGCAGCTGATGCATTTTATGGACTGTGTCCACATGAGGTAAGTAGGATAAAAAGAGTAGGATTCGGAATATGTTAGGTGAAAGTTAGGAGAAAATGATCAAATTATAGAAGTGCCAATGTAAAACATGCAGGTGGATTGATTGAAAATGATTGAACATTGAAAGTATTGAAAGTTTTGTGTTCAAATTCAATTTTATGGCCAATTACTATGACTGACTCGAGACACCAGGCACTGTTTGTGCGGATGAGCGGCCGGAGCGCGTTAAGAGTTTTCTGTTAGAACGGTGTCGTGTTAGCGGCCCCTAAGTTAATAACTAATGATCTCCGCAACGGAAGTAAATCAATCAAAACTAACTTTAGCTGGCCAATGCTGTTGTAAAGCCTGAACAATCTGTTACGGTAATTTTTACATTACATTTACATTTATTCATTTAGCTGACGCTTTTATCCAAAGCGACTTACAATTGCTATATATGTCAGAGGTCGCACGCCTCTGGAGCAACTAGGGGTTAAGTGTCTTGCTCAGGGACACATTGGTGTCTCACAGTGGATTCGAACCCGGGTCTCTCACACCAAAGGCATGTGTCTTATCCACTGCGCCATCACCACCCCATAATTTCTATTGTAACTGTAAAGCTGCTTTGAAACAATCTGTACTGTTAAAAGTGCTTTATAAATTATGAATTATGTTGAAAAGTCAGTGTGGAATAAAAAGCAGTCATAATCCATAATCACCCTGGTGGATATCATGACAGTACATCTCACCCGTATGTTACAACTAACCCAGACTATGGGGTGAATTGTAACATTTCACTCCTCATGTTTGAAACTAAACCATGCTTTTTCTGTTTATGCAAGATGCAAAGAACAGCTACATTTAATAGCAGACACTTGTAACTAGTTTGAATCATATTTTGAACGCACTGGCTTAAAAGAACTGACAGAAATGTTAACAATGTTACAACCATCCCCAGTCACCCTATTATTCAAATTTGAACTTTTACTTCTCTTCTTCACTCCCTCTGCATCACCAATATAATTTTTTAAGCATCAACAGATCCGCTAGGGACCTCTAGTGGTTCAGTTCCAGCAAAGTCCATTACTTTAGACTGAGAACAATTATTCTTCAGTCTTGAAAGATGTCTTTGTTTGGCACACTAAATGACAGATTCCAGTAGGAGGGGGGAAAAAACTTGAGTGGTCAAATAGAAGAACTTGTTGGTTAGATAGCATTCCAGCCATTGTTTCAGAAGCAGAGTAAACAAACTCTCCAGGACTGTGGCCCTCCGGAGCAGGATCGGACAGCCCTACTTTATTTTAATGTGTCCTTGGTACATGTGTTGCATGCATTAATAGTTGAAACTTCAAATTATGCATTATTACAAGTAACTAACCCTAACCCTAAAGTAAGTACATGTTGTTAATAATATTACTCATACTCATAGTTATATTACTTGAGAACTTGTGTAATTACACTGCAACAAGGTAACATTTAAATAAATTGTGATCATACAATTTATGATATACACCAGGGTTCTTCAACTCCAGTCCTGGAGGGCCAGTGTCCTGTAGACTTTAGTCCCAATCCCATGATTTTACCCAGCCTTCTGTAATTTGCAAGTAATTCTGAACATCTGGATTAGGTTGTTCATACCCTCCAGGACTGAAGTTGAGAGCCCTAAACGCTATCACTCAAGAGTTTAGACATCTTGACTGATGATTAAATTATGTTGTTACATTATGATTAAATCTTCAACATTCCCTTCTGGTACAAATTGACAAAGTTTACTGGTAAAATAAGTGGCACCAAAAGCCAATTTTATTCACTCAAATCTGAATGAGGCTAAAGGATAAACAAATAAAGTTAAAGTTAAAATATATAAATAAAGAAGTCTCTTCTGCTCACCAAGGCTGCACTTATTTGATAAAAATAATATAACAAAAAACATTGATATTGTGAAATATTATTACAATTTAAAATAACTGTTTTCTAGTTTAATATATTTTAAAATGTAGATTATTCCTGTGAAACCTGTTTCTCTCTTTCCCCCATTAGGAATAATAATAGTTGTGTTTCGAAGGGATATTGTCTCCAGTCCTGCTATTATATCATTTTGGAATGGCTGTGTTGATGGTCTGTTGTGAAGTCAAATTTTAAATCTTCCTCATAAATATTTAATCACAAATAAAATATGCACGCCTTCACAATTGTACTCCTTACCTCTCACCAAACTATATACCGCCAGAGAGCACTTCGGTACTGCTGTAATTAAATTTGAATTAAAATTTGCTTTATCAGCATGACAATGTATTCCCAGAGTTTTTGAAATGTTTATAGTGAATGTAGAACAGATGAAAACAAATTATATATACTGTATATATATATATATATATATATATAAATTACTAAATAGAAAAAGTAAACATTTTAGAATTCTATGCACAATGTAGAATTCATTGTGCTCTCTCTCTCTCTCTCTCTCTCTCTCTCTCTCTCTCTCTCTCTCTCTCTCTCTCTCTCTCTCTCTCTCTCTCTGTGTGTGTGTGTGTGTGTGTGTGTGTGTTTAGGGTTATGTTTAGTGGTTGTCATGGGATTAGTGGCTCTGTTTAAGTAGTGGTTATGTTTAAGTTTGGATTAAGATCTTTATTGTCACTGTACATGTACAATGAAACTCTGGTGGATCAACCTCCAGATGCTAATACAACACTACACAACACAATGCAACACAATACAATAAAACCTTTATGTGCAATAAAACAGAAAGTGACAAATGCTAAGATAGTGTAGTGTCAAATTGCACTGCGATAAATAGGACATTACACGATAAAATATTGCACAGTGAAAACTTTATTGAGATACACTTTATTTCAAAAGAATAATCATATTGTTCATTAAATTTACTCCATTTTTATTGTTAATTATTTACTGATGGATCAAAATAGAGCATGACAGAAAATGTACAGCCCAATGGGTCAGTGTGACGGAGAGGGATTATTTTTAGCACAACCTTATTATTTGTTACAAAAAAGTAATAATATTATTAACCACGGTAGTCTTTTCTCCCACTCCCACTCTCTCTCTTTCACACACACACTCACAAAGAAACACACATTTGTTTGTGTATCTACATGGGGACTCTCCTTTGATTTCTATTGTATTACTCCTATTCTACTATTCTGGATTTTTACTGTCCTCGTAATGTACAATAGCTAAAACCTGAACACACATACTCACTCACAAAATATTCAAACACACATGCTGAAATGTGTCATCTAATGTTTTGAATGTAACAGAAGAACAAACATAAGAAAATCAAAAAAGGTTAAGAGAGAGAGAGAGAGAGAGAGAGAGAGAGAGAGAGAGAGAGAGAGAGAGAGAGAGAGAGAGAGAGAGAGAGAGATGTTTAATCACTTAAAAATCCCACTTTTCTTAATTAGCAAATCTTTAGGATCTGATGAAGTGTTTCGTTTAACACTTGTACATTATGACGTATCACTTTTGTATTTGACCAGTGTGTCCGCTTTACTCAGAGGCATGTGCTGTATATCAGACGTAGTTCTTTATGGCGTAGCCACTGTGGGTGTCAGATTTTGTTAAGGTGTATCTAGGGGAATAGTTGTCCCGCTCTGGTGGGCAGCTGGTGCAGAGAACGGCTCCACCAACGAACAGAAAGCCCGCTGTCACCCAGCCCACATACAGGGCTGCCCCCATCTCTCTCTTTAGTGCTTCATGCACTATGGGATTATGGAAGTCTCTTATAATGGAGTCGGCTGTCCAGGACACAGGCACCACAGTAGTCAGTCCAGAAAGCATAAAGGTAATCCCAGATACCACCACAATCCGTGCTTTGGCGCGTGGGTTACTTAGGCAGTTGGTGCAATCAGCCCCAATCAGAAAAATGAGGAAAGCCAAGCAGGCCAAAGCCATGGTGGTCACCATTAGCCCACGCGACGCCTGTAGGGAAGGATCCAAATCCAGCAGGGCATCGTACAGTTTACACTGCATCTGGCCAATGCGCTCGTACACGCACGTCATCCACAATCCTTCCCAGAAGACCTGTGCCACCACAATGTTTGTGCCGATGAAGGCGGTTACCTTCCACATGGGCAGAGCACAGATGATGATGGTTCCTGCAAAGCCAATCATTGAAAGAGTGATTCCCAAGACCTGCAGAGCCATGGATGGGGCTGGGGATGACACAAAACAGACAGAGACAACCTTTAATTCTTTCTTTTATCAGTGTTTCTGTATACACATTTTTTAATAATGAAACAGATGTGATTTAGTTGCAGCTCTAATAAAGTAGCATATGAATGATTTTCTCTCACTAGGGGGCAGTAGATTTCACAATACAGGTGAGCACCGGTGGCAATGAAGTGAGTTTGCTCAACAAGACAGTTGTGTTTGGAGTTTGAATGAAACCGATACTAAACGAGAAATATATTTCTCAACAGAGAGCTGCATGGTTTAGTGGTGGTTGTCATACTTTTATCTCTGTCTTTGACCACTTGTTTACATTTCTAAGAATGTGGTGCACGTGTTCGGACATAAAAGAATATGTATGGGTTTTGCGTAAGAGAAAACCTGGCATTTCCCTGTAGTGGTTATCTGAAATAACACCGTGACTCTGTGAAAAGATCTCATTGTAAGGAAACTCAGGATGTTTGTGTACGTAAGCCTGAGAACTATGTAATATGAGCCCTGTAAGAAAGGTTAATAGTGGGAGAACTGGTTTTCTATTTAACTCATGTACTCAGTTTATATTAACTTGAATTCAAATGTGTCAAAAAAAGAAGTCAAATTGCTCATTCAAATTTATAATTCTTTGTTCAGTGTCTCTCATAAGATGAAGAAACACACAATGCAGGTGAAATACAAATCAACTTTTCATAATTAATAAAGTACAGTAACCTAAACCCACAGTAAAAGTGACAATGAACTTATTTATATCCCTTAGAACCTGTAGTACAAAAACAATAGCTATGCATCATCTTGTTCTTAGAGAACACGTAGTATGTTCGATTGACTAGTGGAAACTAGTGGGTGTTCCTGAACAGCAGGTTTTCCTAGTGTTGTGTAAAGTATGTTCCTCTGGCATGCACAAAAAAACAAAATGAGAACAAAAGCCAAGAACAATTGAGCCAACATGTTTACTTCATATAAAACTGCACATAATTAGTAAAAACTAGTAAAAAGAGAATTCAACAGTTAAAAGTGGTCCAAGATTTTCACCTACACTAATTTGTCGTGTCAAAATACACTACAAAATATACAACTATATCTTTCTAATGAAACTTTGTGTAGGTCTTGGGAGGAGTTGGAGACCATGGGACTGGCACTGTGTGGCCGGGAAGAGCATCATGACCACTAGATGGCTTTACCATCATTACAGGATTATATATGACAGATGCTGAGTGGTCGAAGGAAGCCCTCATCTCTCTACGCTGAGCATCTAGTAACAAGAGGTTGTAGAAGTCAGTTATTATAATGACAGAGCTCCAGGACACAGTGATAAGACATAGAAGCCCAGAGATGATCAGAACCACCACAGCAGCAATGGATGCTTTTACTGTACTTTTCCTTGTTCCTCAACTATGAAGTTGGTACATTTCCCTGAGACAAGTGTAACAGGAATCCCAGCGACACCCACCACGATGGAAAAAACCATTAGGACACGATCAGCATGCAGATCAGGGCTCAGTGCCAGCCTGGAGTCATAGACTTTCAACTGCATCTGTCTGGTACTCAGCTGATTATTTACAAAGCACTGAATGGTTTAGCTCCCCAGTACTTGAGCGAGCTCTTAATGCATTATAGTCCGTCACGTCTATAGCGATCTCCGGCCAGTTGATAATACCTAGAATATCAAAATCGACTGCAAGCGGTAGATTAATCTTTCTGTTTATTCCGAGGTTTAGCTTCTGGCTGTAGTCAGCCAGATCCGGGCCGTATCCAGACCAGATGAAGGACCTGCGCCTAGACACGACCACAACGCATGATCTAGTCAGCCGGATCTGGGCCGTATCCAGACCAAATGAAGAACCTGCGTCTAGACATGACCACAACGCATGATCTAGTCAGCCAGGTTTATTTCTCCATTCTGTTACTGATGGAGTTTTGGTTCCTCGCCACTGTCGCCTTTGGCTTTTGGCTTGCTTAGTTGGGGACACTTAATATTCAACAATATTATTGATCTGCCTGCATTGACACCATTACAGGAGAACTGAACTGAGCTGGACGATAAAATCACTGTTTTCTACAGAGCAGCTGTATAGATAAATTAACTAAATTAATAACTCTTTATAACAAAAATTAACCCATCACTGAACTTACTTAAGCTGGACTGACGCTTTCTTCTAGATCTGCTGTACAGCCGAAACGAACTCTGTTGCATTATTGTCCTGTTATCTCCGTAAAGCTGCTTTGAAACAATCTGTATTGTAAAAAGCGCTAAATAAATAAAAGTGACTTTGACTTGATAGCTCATCCAGATTCCCTTCCAGACAATCTGAGAGGTCACAATGTTGATACCAATAAAGGCTGTAACTCTACACATGGGTCACACAGAATTATTACTCCAATCCAATCAAATAGGGCCAGGATGCAACCCAGTAACTGCATGCCCATAGATGCCCTCTCAATATCACCTTCTGGGGTTTTTTCGGGATTTGCTTTCCAAAAACTTGACCAGTATGTACAGTAGGAGCTGGGTTCAGGGAGGGAAAAAAAAACATGCTATTCCAAATGGGAATCCGCACAAACTGAGGAAATAGCAGGCTTGTGAGGTTCTATGTGTTTGTGACAATAAAGGGTTTTATATATGTATGAGATAGGTTTACGTTCCTTTTGTCACTTCCTATAGGGTAGGAATAGATCTCTTGTTTGAATAAACATGTTTAGAAGCCTCATGTTAATTAAGCTTTGCTACAGAACTCAATGTTGCTTTCTTATTCGATTAATCCATTTGAAATTTAGTACTTAATATTAAGACATAAATATTTTCCAAAAGTAACGTCACCCACATCCTGTTGTTAATATTCAGACAGCCATTTAACCAGTCTGGACTTGAAACCAAAGCTTCAGCAAAACAACTTTTGCTGTGCCAAACCTCATTTCCTGAAATGAGCTAATTTACTGAAATTTATGCACATGAATCTCAGGGATGCATTAGCATTGTTAGCATGCCCTGGGCACAGAGGTCTCAAAAGGGTCCATCAAAAACATGTTCCCTTTCGAGGGAACTCACGATGCGTCAAACGACGCTTTGGGAACGCTCCCAGCGTGAATGCGTCTGAAGCATCTATGTCAACTAGTCCAATGGAAGGAATGAACGTCACGGGCGGGTGACGTCATGACCAGGAAGTGATAAAAGAGCATCCGGTGCAAACCGGCATTAGCTTCTGTTGCCTCAGCAAGCGATCTGTGTCAAACTGTCTGTTATTTTTACTGTTGTCTGTATGATATATATATATATATATATAAACACTATGGAAACGAAACAATTGCACAACTCTGTGTTCTCCCTGCTCGCGTTATTTAACGAGTAGGGACACACACGAGCTTTGTGTGATGTGTTTGGGAGTAGAGCATGCGGTGTCAGCCTTCGAGGGGGCTGATTGCCAACATTGTGAGAAGCTTTCGCTTCGCATGCTCCGCTCCCGCCTGTCACTTTTAGAGGAAAGTGGCCAGGCTCGCGATTCTCAGGGTGCAGGACCCGCGTCTGCCGAGGCAGCGCGGAGAATGCATTCCTGTGGATCGTAAATAGGATCTCTTTACGGGGTTGGAGACGGGTCCGCGGATCTTATCTCCTCCCTTTCCCGAGCGATCCAGTGCTCTCTCTCCGGTCTCGGAAGCCCGCGTTGCGGTCTCTTCCGCCCGGGGAGAGAGACCAATGCTTCAGTGCTCTACCTCCGAGGAGGTAGATGTGCTGGGCATTGAAAGTGACACAATCATGGGGGAAGTGGATTTGCCATCTCTTTCCCCAGCGTATGAGAAATATATATAATAGTTTATATATTATATATAAAATATAATAAATATATATATAAAAATATATACATAAAAAAATAAAAAAATAAAATGAAAAGCTGGTGGAGGTGTTTACTAAGGCTGTAAATAAATTAAATATGTAATGGCCAGCAGAAATAAGGGGGCGCTCGTCCTAAAAATAAATTAAACGAGCTTCCTTCGCTCATTTTTCACCTCCATCACGGGGCCTTCCATTTTTTCCCGATCTGCACAGCGAGCTGTCTAGATCATGGAAAAAGCCTTACCCATTTTGTCTTTTAGCCCCCAAGTTCATGTATATTCAGATATTAGGGGGTTAAGAGAGTATGGCTATGGGGCAATACCCCGGGTAGAACAGACGCTTGCGAGCTATCTGTCTCCCGGTTCAGTATCGTCCCTGAAGGTGTCGGTTTCTCTCACTAAACCATTAAAGAAAACTATTTTTTAATCTAGTGGGGAAAGCATTTACGGCAGTGGGTCTAGCAGGAGCCTGCTTGCACACAATTTCAGTGCTACAAGCATATCAGGCTGACCTGCTGGGGTATTTGGACAGAAGTGAGGGAGTTTGGCCCGATGGGGTTTGAGAACTTCGTCGGGCCACAGATTTATCTCTCAGGGATACTAAGGAGACCGCCTGAGCAATTGGGCGGTCTATGGCAGCCCTTGTGGTCACTGTGAGACACCTCTGGCTCATTTTGATGGAAATCATGGAGAAAGATGCAAGAGAATCTCTCCCTCGCTTTGTCCAACCCCCTGTGGTTGCTGGGCGTGAGCAGCTCCAGCCGTCTAGTTTCTTATACGCAACACAACAGCCAAAGCCTTCAAAGCTGAAGCCGGATCAGAGGACCGTTCTTCACGCTGAGAAGGCTTCGGCTCAAAAGAAAAGGTCTTGGCGCCACCGGCATCAGACCGGTGAGGGCAGCCCCAACCAGGGTGAAATGGTGTACACCTCATTACACGGTGCCCTTTCCATCTCGGTGCCCTCAGGGGACCGTTCTGCCAACCCCGCCACCCTTGGTGCTTCGGGGCGCAGCGGTCTCCAGCGAGCTTCTGGCGCAGTGTCAACTCGACATTGCGCCGGACTCGCGCCCTCTGAGGGGGGTTCGAAAACAGTCAGTTCGGGTGGTTCCTGCCAGTATGCTTCAGGTCCCCTAACTGGCTGTCTCAATTACACCAGAGA